GGATCGGCCGTCAGGACCGGACCGCCGGGACCCGGCCGGCCCGGGCCCGGAGTCGTACTGAGTCGCGGCCAGTCACTGAGTGACGGTGCTCAGTCACTCAGTACCGTACAATTTGCGACGCGTCAACTTTCAGGGCGGTTTCGGATCCACTACCCACCCCCTCGGAGTATGGAGTGACTTCTGCTCCATAAAGTACCCCTGTATTTACTATTAAAGTACCCCTAGTTTCATATCAGCGAGATTGAAAGTGTCTACCCAACCCCCCCTTTCAACCCGATGAGCAGAGTCTCTCAGGGTTCAGTCTCGACGCAATGGCGGCGCCTGCTCGGGTCGTGGGCGCCTGCCTGGCATGGGCGAGCAGCCGCGGCCTGCCGTCTCAGCTGTCATGTCACAGGAGCTGTGAAGCAGCCCTCTCTTCCATGAAGAAGGAGGAGCTGCGTGCTCTCTGCTCCAGTCTTGGGCTCAATCACGATGGCAGTACTGCTCAGCTCATCTTGTCGGTGGTGGAAACGATCGTGGCGAGGAGAGTTCCGCTTCCTCCCGAGTACCCGTCTCTCAACTATGTCTCATCCCTCTCAGCCCATAGCGTTGACGTTCTGCCCTCCTTGCGCTGCTGGAAGTGTGGGGCTTCAGTGGAGCCCTGCGTCAAGAACATCGCAGACTTCCAAGTCGGTAGCTGGCCGCCGGGAGACAGCAGGAGATGGCAGAACTGCGAGTCAGTTGTAATCCCGTCCTTGATCTGCCATGCTGAATGCGCCCGAGAGGAACTCGAGGAGGCGGGCAGGAGGGGCGAAACCGCCCGGCCACCATCGAATCAGCAGTCCACCAGGCGCCGCTCTTGTAGGGTAGGAGACTTTGCAACGATCGTGGGGCTCCGATGGGAGGAGAGGTGGATCGGCCTGCAGGAGATCCTCATGCTGGAGAGAGGAGGGAGCCTTGCTGACGGCCTCATCGACGTTCCTACTGGTCCCTGCATCGAGCGCGTTGCACTTCAGCTCTTGAACTGGTTCTCAATGTCTTGTGAGTCCTGGGGGGAGAAGAGCTACCTGCCTGCGCGCGTGTACCTGACGAGGAGGACGAAGCTCTGCTGCCGTGGGGGGTCGATAGTCGGGTTCATGACCTTCACAGACTCGCCCGACAAACACTTCGTCCTCCCCAGCCTCAATGCGATCTTTGTGTTGCCCGGGGCGAGGAGGAAAGGAGCGTGCAGGGAGATGGTACAAGATTTTGTGAGAGGGGTAGAGGAGAGGGAGAGGGGAAGCAACAGAGCAAGGAGAGAGGGAGAGGGAGGGAGGGAGGGGGGGGAAGGGGAAGGGGAAGGGGAAGGGGATTGGAAAGGAGATAAAGATTCTGGAGACTCTGCCAGCAACTTGCGCAAGCTGATGGGGATCGAGGTGAGGAGAGTCTGTGTGTTTGCTTGCATGCTAGTTGACGGGGATGAAGGTCCCGGTATCGCAGAAGCTCCTCCTTGCCCTTCCCCACATCCTCTCTCCTGCCACCCTCAAGAGGGTGATAACAGCCTCCTCCTCCTGCCAGCGTCCTGACCGCCTCCGAGCAGATGGTCGCAATCGAGCATGGCGACAATGAAGAACAGGTGCCTGCGTCCCTAACTCTCTGAAACCCTCACTCTCTCCTCCTCCTCCTCCTCCACCACCACCACCACCACCACCTCCTCCTCCTCCTCCTCCTCCTACTCTTCATCGCCTCCGTCCACTTCCTACCCAGTCCTTGTTTCTCTTCACCATTTGAGGCGCCTGCTCTCGCAACTTCTTTGCCACTTTTCGTCACTGCCTTCAAACATACACGTCCTTCCTCCTTTACTCGCATCGCTTGCCAGCCCCTCCTGATCCTTTAGCAGGCCGCAAATCGCAGCACCGTCTGGGAGCTGCTAAATCGAGAGACCGTGCCATGAAACTTGTACTTTACAATCAATTTGCCTGCTCCTCCTCTTCCTCTGCCTCCTCCCTTCCTCTTCCTCTTCCTCCTCCTCTTCCTCTTCCTCCTCCTCTTCCTCTGCCTCCCCTCCTCTGCCTCCTCCCTTCCTCTTCCTCCGCCTCCTTCAAAAGGCTGCTGATCCGTCATTGCCATCCATGAAGTCCTGCTCCATCAGCTCGCCCCGCTTCGTCTTCCCTGCAAACATAAAATTATGATCAGCAACAGCTCGCCTCCCACCCCCATCCCCCACCCCCCTTCCTGTTCCTGTTCCTCAACCTCCACCTCCTCCTCCTCTCTCCCCACCCTCCTCCTCCTCGTCTTCATCCTTGTCCTTGTCCTCTCCCTCCTCCTCTCTTTACCTTTTCTAAAGCTTCTGATCAATCTTGCTGCAAACAGCACACATGGCAATGTGGAGGCGGCACCGCATACCTACTCAAGACGTCAGTCCCCATCCTCCTCGAATGCGTTCCCGTCCTGGCACTGCTCCGCCTCCTCCTCCTCTCCGCCTCCACCCTCTCCTCCTCCTCCTCCCTCTCCTCCTCCTCTTCCCCTGTCCTCCTCCTCCATCCTCACCGCCCCGATGATGGCCTGCATGTTGGGGATGAAGCCGGGAGTTGGTATGTCGTTCATCCCGACGATAGTGACAGTTGCGAACTGAATTTGTTTGAGAGTCCTGACAATGAGGAGATGGAAGCGGCAGAAGCAGAGGAGCGAGAGGACGAGGAACGGCGAGGAAAGTCTGCAAGAAGAGAGAGGAGGCAGGAGGGGAGAGAGGGCAGGAGGGGGAGGGAGAGGAAGGATGTAGGGTGGGACCTGGGGGTCGGAGATGAGAGTTGCGTTGACGGCTTGGAAGATGCGAACCTGTCGAGAGATGTAAGGAAGAGGCGGGAAAGTGAGCGAGCGAGCGAGGGATGGGAGGTGAACATGCTGAAGTTTGATGAGGGAGAGAAAGGATGGGAGGAAGGAAAACAAGTTGGGACGGGGATCACAAAGGGAGCAACCGAATTCACCTGGAGAAACTCATTCTGTTCCATGAGAATATCGTCATAGATAGGGATGATGATGTATCTGAAACATCATGTCGTGACAAAGAAATCTCTGTTTCCCTACCTCCCCTCCTTCTCAACTTCTCTTGTTCTTTCCCCCTGCCTCCTCTCCTCCTCTCCTCCCCTTACTTTGTGCTTGAGTCTCCTTGCCTCCATCTCAGTTGCCCCTGCTTTGACACGTAGTCTACTCCCAGCCCCTGAGTTTCTCAGAGTCACGTGATGCACGCAGAGAGAGGAGAAGCAGGTGGAGGACGAGACAAGAAGATGGAGACAAGTGATGGCACACGAGGTTGGGAGTCGGTGAGATCAAGGAGGACAAGGAGAGAGGGAGGGAGGGAGGGAGGGAGGGAGAGAGAGAGAAAGGGAGGGAGGGAGGGAGGGAGGGAGGACCTGTGCAGCGAAGGTTCCGTTGAGCTGGACGGTCTCATATCTCACTGCATCATCATCAACCATGGATCGTCTCATCAAGGCTTCCCACCTGTCACAGAGAGATCGCTGCCTCCCGTCCGCGTCACTCCAAGTTTTGCGTAGCTCCATACAAGCTCCTTCACCCTGCCAAACCCGCCCCGTCAGCCTCCAGCAAGAGAAGACTGCAAGAGCAAGGGACGTACCTTAGCATCGTTGTCTCAAACTGGAGGAACCCAGGATATTGAACCTTGATTGTGTTCTGCAGGAATTCAGATAAAGGCGAGGACACGATGTAGGAGGGAAAGGGGGGAAGAGAAGGAGCAGGGAAGAGATATGTGTGCAAAAGAAGAAGGGTCTGAGTCGAGTGGGACGAGAAGAGAAGGAGATGAAAAGCAGAAGTGAAGCAGGAAGCGAGGATTATGAGTGGAGGACGAGCAAGAGGAGAAGAAGGAGAGTTCTTCATCACCACTAGCCGCGCTGTCGTATCCTCCGGGTCGATCCCCTGGTCTACATAGACGTTCATGATGTTGAGCATACGCAGGGCGGGGTCTCCCGTCGCCGCCTGCGCCCTCGCCGTGAGGTTGTTGAGCGAGACTTGAGCTGGCAGTCCGGCAGGCCCTTCGGAGACGATGTAGATGATCATGTTGAAGTCAGCGCAGGCGCCGCCGATAGCGTTGGGGATGCAAAGAGCAGCTGTGCTCTTCTGATAAGTTCTGACGGCAAATAAAGAGCCCAGGCTCGGCTTGAGGAGACTGGCTGTCGACTGCAAAGTCTGTGCAGCATTCAGTCAGACAATAACCTTCTCCACCACGCGCGCTGCCCTCGCCTCCTCTCTCTCTTCACGCCAAAACCCTCACGACACATAATCCAACTCCTTTCTCTCCCCTCACTTGCATGCTCCCTCCTCCCCCCAGGTGCCTCCCCCCCTCCCTCTCTCCTCCTCCCTCACCACAAGTTGCAGTCTCCTGTAGTCCTGAGCATTGATGAGAATGGCAAGCTCCTTGAGGAACCCCTGGACGTCGAAGTCCGACGTCGGATACTGAGTGTAGATCCCAACTTGAGGCGAGGCGGTGCGGCGCTGGAACATCCTTTGTGATTCCAGCACTTGAGCTAGGTAAGTCCACTTACAAGGGCCCGCCACACATCTCATTCTCCTCTCACAGAGCGATCTAGTGTTCCACTGATGAATCTGCACAGTCTGCCCTGCGGGGAGGGTGGAGGTGATTTGTCCCAAAGACCAGTAAAGCTGGTTGCAAGTGCTTCGGATGCTGATCCTGTCTGTCGTACTGCACGTTCCTGTCTGGTCAATGCAAGAAGTTATGGACAGAGGGCTGCTGGCCGAGTAGGGATCCGTCGAGCGATCGATGGCGGCGATGAACGAGACGTTCTTCAAGTTGGTCGCTCTGTCACAGACTCCCGAGCCCGGCGACATGATGGCCGGGATGGTGACATTGTAGATCCCTGGCTCAGTCTGTGTGATGGTGAACCTGCAGGAAGAAGTGTCGCCGGTCAAGGTACAGACAGGACAGCAGTGCGACTTTGCTGCGGTAGCATCGTACTGAAGAATTTGAGTTTGAGTCACCAACCTTGACGTCGAAGGGATGTACTTGCCCCCGTACACGTCCTCATCTACAAGCTCCCACGTCCCCTCGTACTCGATGAAGTCGTCGAGCTTGGAGGAGAGAATGGTCCCATCGTATCCCTTCACATTCGGGCGGATCCCTATAGCAACGGACTGATTCTGGAAAATCTGGCCGGGCTGGGGACAAGGAAAAGACGGGTTGTTGTTAAGACAGGACACGCGAGGCAACCGGCAGAGGTACTGAGAGTTGCTCAGCCGCTGAGATTCACAACAAGCTCGCGGTTCCCCAGCTGCCCCACTATGATACAGGACGATAGAAGCGTTCCTGGTGTGGGTCGCGTCCGTTGAAGGGAAGTCAGCTCCGTAGACAGTGATGTACGTTCCTCCCTCCTGAGGGCCGAACGGAGGATCGATGGAAGTAATCCGAGCCATGTAGTTCATGAACCAGGCGTCGTTGGGACCGTGGAAAGGTTCTGACCAGGTGAGCGAGTAGTAGAAGATCTGGTTGCTGGAGGACGTGGCAAACGATGAGACGGTAGGCTGGTTTGCCACTTGGGCGAGGGTGTAGGGGTTTGTGAACCTCTTGTCATAGTCTGAGAAGGAAGTCTTGCCTGACTGAAGGTACGGAAAAGAGATCGCAAGGTCCATCCTGTACGTCGCTCCTAAGGGATCGGTTGAAGTCCTGGGCATGACCTTGAAAATGCCGGAAAAGCTCGCCACGTTGTTGAGGTTCACATAACAATTCTGATTGGTGCAACGTTGGAAAGGGTTCGTACTTGAAGTGTAGATGGTGTTCCAGTCCATGTGATCCGTACTGGTCGCTCCAAAGTTCATCTGACAAGCCAGATAGTCACTGGTTGTCTTGTAGATGTCGAACCTGACACGGCCGCTCGATGCATTGAAGTACGCCATGACACTGTGATTCCGCTCATATCTGCATCCATCCGGCATCCCAAAGTATCCCTTGGATCCTGGCGAGCTCTCGAACACGTCCCCATAGAACCGCATCGTCAGGTTCAGCTTTAGTTCACTGTTGACCGGTGCTCCTGGTGGCTCTTGCAAGATGAGCTGAAGCTGGTCTACTGGACATATCGACGGTCTGCCTGTCATCGGCTGACATTCTGACACAGTCATCGGCTTCGGGAAGTACATGTAGCTCGGCCCTCCCCCATCGGCATACCCACTTCCTCTCCATTCCCTTGCCAACACGCCCAGCACCATCGACACGTTCAGAGTTGAGTCCTGAGCACTGCAGCAAGTCAACCCAGCCAGGAGGAGGAGGACAGGTAGGCGGCTGCTGCTCATCCCTCCCCCTCCTCCCTCCCTCCCCCTCCCCCTCTTCGCGTCGCTGCCACAAGCCACCGCCATGATCCTCCTCCCGAACAGGCAGGTCAACCAACCGTTACAGAACGTTATTAATAAGGAAATCGTTACTGACCGTTGAGGTCATCGGTCGATCTTTCAAATATTCACCCCACCCACCGTTATGGATGAAAAACCACCCCCACCATCCTTATGATTTCATGACCCCTGTTATACTACGGAAAATATCAGTACCCTATGTATCTCATCATCCTCCCTCACTCTGGTGACCCGGTACCTCGACTACCCCTACCTCCTCTCAGTTTTGGTCTGAACTCGGAAGAGAGTGAGAACGGAATCAGGGTCAGGGAGGACGAGGACGAGGACGAGGACGAGGACGAGGACGAGGACGAGGACGACGAAGGAGATCGAAGGAGATCAGGGGGAAGGGAAGAAAGAGAAGAAGATGCGGCTCAATGATGCTGTACCCTGAGGACGATCCATTTCCTGGACTAAAACATTTGAAGTTGGAGAAAGAGTCCACGTAAACCAACAATCGTGTTGACCGTTTCCTCTGCATCATGGAGCACAAACTACATTCAATGGAGCCGTCATGGGCTCGAGATGCCGGGTATTCTGACAGGAGGTTCAGCAACACAAATTTCCCCATCGCAACAAAGCTGAGATCTGAGTTTTTGATGGACAAGGAGAGAGCGTTTGATACCCCAGATGTGAGATGCAAGGGGAGGCAAGGGCCACCCTCACCAGCAGAGAGCATGAAGGAGGCCTTGAATGCGATCAAGAGGTATGACGTCATCTCGGACATGGGGAAGATGCAGGATAGCCTGTTGAGAATTATCGAGGAGCAGGTCCGGTTGAGAATGCAGCAGCAGGTTGAAAGGAACGTGAGCGGAGAGGAGGAGACTGAGATGGGTGCAGACAAGAGCGAATCGAGAAAATGTGATGGACTACGCGTCGACGGATGGATCTCTGATCAGAGAGTATCAGATCCAGAAGGAGGAGCTCTTCTCTGAGATCTCTCGCCTGCAGGTCTGACTTGGATCCCGAACTCCCCCTCACAACCCCTTGAACGGCTGCTGAGGTCCTGATGCAGACGGAGATCATGAGCTTGAAGGAGAAGAACCTTCGGCTCAAGGCTGAGAATGAGCAAGCATACAACCTCGTGAAGATGGCAAGGGCATCTGAAACCACCCTCCAGGTGAAACGATGACGATGATTTGTGTGCTCTTGTGAAAGATGTCTCCAAGCATGTGCTGGAAGAACGACAAGTCTCGCTGGACCTGCTCAAGAATGCCAAGAATGAGGCGGAGAAGCAATTGAAAGAGCAAATGGTAACATCCTCGCATCGACTGTCTCTTGCTGATTTCCCTCAAGGAAACAGCTAGGTACGAACTACAGGTGAGAAGGAAACTTGTTCGATTGATAGACCCTTCCGACCGTCATGCAGAGAGTTCGACTTGAGTTCGAGACAGAGCTGATGTCCTTGCGCGCCAAGGTCAGGTCACGCTAGTATGCATTCTGCTGATTGTTTGCGACAGAATCTAGAGCTTCAGGAGCAGAACAAGAAGAACGATGTCAAGTAAGTCCTTGATGCGTCTTGAAGCGATCATGGCAGTGGCTAACGAGAGTTGCTGCAGGCTGGCCGAGGCGTCTGAAAAAGTGAAATCAGGACGGAGGGTTTGTAGATGCTGATGTCGGAACAGTCAAAAGTTGCGGTGCAAGAGATCGAGCAAGCAAAGAACGCTGTGTCGGAAGCAGTGCTACAGGTCAACCAGGCTGACTCAGTCGTCGCATGCCTGACAAGAACGCAGGCCAAGAAGTACAAGTCGCTGCTGGAGCAGGAGACGACGGACAAAGAGAGGCTGCAGGTAAGGGATTGGAGGAGATGGTCGGCGGGAAAAGACTCCCCTCTGGGAACGATTGTTCGATGCAGGAAGAAAACTCGACGCTGAGCGAGAACTTGGAATCGTATCAGAAGATGTTGTCTCACGAGCAAATCAAGAGAGAGGAGACGTCTGCAGAGATCCTCGAGCTCCGCGCTGCCCTCCGGACGGTCAAGGCTCAGTTGATGGTTGCAAAACTCGTTGACGTTTGCGCTCGTGACGAGGATCACAGGCCGCAGAGAAGACGAGGGAGGAGCTGAGAAATCGACACGAGACGGAGATCAGCTCACTGAGGTGAACCCCTGCTGGACTTGCCTTGCTCACTTGCCCCCAAGGACGTCGCACAGGTCGGCAAGGATCGAAGCGGAGCAGCTCCGGTCGAGACTGAACGCCACGAGCTCGGCGTTGCAGGTGGGAAGGGAGGAGAATGTTGGGCGATGGGAGTGAAGGGGATGGCAGGCGCACCTGAACGGGCTGAGTAACCCGATGAAGAGCATCGAACATGTGCTGGAGGTAGCCACGAGTCCCTTCTTGTCTTTCCTCCCTGATCTCCTCTCAGTTGAACGGGAAGTTTTGCGATGCCTCAAACGCATCCCGCGACTACGACAGCCAACGAGGCTCGCCGACGGACCGGTCGGCTGTCCCTCCTCATAGATCGCCAGGTGTAGGGTCGCCGGTAATGGAGGGCCCGGATGAGAAGCAGGAGAAGGAGGAACATCCAGGATATTAACCTCAGCTGGTTCAACGTGGAACCTTGCGTCCTTGCTGTGTGAGATTAAAGATACCTTGAAGGCCTTCGCCATACCGTTAATTTGCCGAGGGGCGGCCAGTCAGTGACACTGGTTGGGACTTAACTCGGGCCGGGACTCCGGCGGCCTGAGCCTGGCCACGGCCGACCCGGTGGCCGGGCTCCGGCTTCGGAAGCCTAAGGAGTCTGGCCGCAGTGCTCTGACTAGCCCAAAAAAAAAGGTTTTACAATCAACGATTGACAAGACAAGATGGATGGTGATGCGAGATAGGAATGCGATCCATGGCGAACGAGGAGGAGGAGGAGGAAGGGGCAAAAGAAGAGGAGAGGGGGGGAGAGGAGCGAGAAGGAGGGAGGAGATGAAGACACGAGGTGAGTAGCGATGGGACAAGTCGAGTGAAGGCAGGAAGAGGAGGAGAGTGGCAAGGTATCCTCTAACATGGGTGGTTGGGATCCGAAGTTTTATCTGGCCCTTGTCCTGGTGCTGCTGATCCTCGGGGAGCATTCTTCGGTCTCCGAGCTCCACGTCCATCAAGTTTCCGATCTCATCTACGTCAGGCACGTGCCCTTCAACGTCATCTTGGACATCAGCGTGCAGAATGTGAGCCGATGGAAGATTTTGATCCAGGAGTTCAGAGGGAGGGAGGAAAGCGCTCTTGACGAGATGGAAGGGGAGGGAGACTTGAACTACATGCCCTTCACCGTGAGCTGGAAGCGGCACGAGGGCGTTCTTCTTCGCGTCATCCTACTGGACAGGGAGTCCGAGAGGAGCTGGGAGCGAGCGGTTCACTTTCAGCTTCAAAGGCTGCTGGACGTTGCTTTCCAGCTCTCGAATCCAGCGCTGAGCCACCACATGGCAGAGGTTGATGCAAGTCAGCCGGTCGTGCAGGACATGCTGAAGTGGGCAGTGACTCGGTTCTGGCACTCCGGCCGGGTCTCCCCCACTAACGTGTTGGAAGCGACAGTCTGGCTGAACTTCAACCCCCACGAGCTGGGTCAGTGCCAGAGGAGGGAGGAAGAGATGTGCAGGCTCGAGAGTTCGTGGGAGACCGTGCACTACCTCACGGTGGAGTGGGAGCGAGGAATCTTCCTGTTCGCGGTCAAGATGGCGGTCAAGGACGGCAGTCTGTCGCTCCTCCACGCTCAACCCGTCCCGGAGACGCTGTGGAGCGAGAAGCGAACGTTGAGCGAGCTGGTGGAGGTGGGGACGTGCTGGGGGAACGAGAGCCAGCTGGACGAGGACCTCCGGCCCTGGGAGGAGCTCGGGGGGCGGATCAAGGAGGAGCAGGTGGCAGATCAAGCATCCAAGGAGGCATGGAGCAGGTACTGCAACCGAGTCACCATCGTCAACAATCAGCTCTACATCCAGTTCGCCAAGCAGGATCAGGAGGTGGAGCAGATATCGCACGGCAAGAAGTGGTACACGAGCATGCTGGTTGAGATGCTCCTCAGCCTCCTCGCTCGAGCTCGGGTCCCTGATGTCGACTTGTGCGTTGCTGAAGAAACTCCGCAGACGCTGCGAGGATCGTTGCTCCCCAGCCTGTCCATTACCAAGTCAGCTGCTCACATGGACATTCTCATGCCCGACCTCTTCTTCCGCTACTGGAACGTCCCCGCGTCGCTGGTGCCTCACGCCTGGTACCTCCCGCCTTACAACTGGATCAACCTGCTGGATCGGGAGGACAGCAAGTACCGACGGTGGGAAGAGAGGAGGGCAAAAGTCTACTGGCGCGGCTCGATAGATGGTAAAGGAGGGAGGAGGAGGTGGTGGTTGAGGACGAGGACGAGGACGAGGACGAGGACGATGACGATGACGAGGACGAGGACGATGACGAGGAGACTGACTAATGATATCAGACTGGTTGATCAGCGCTCGGGGGCGTCTCTGTCGCATCGCATCTTATCGTCCTGATATCTTCGATGTCGCACCAATACGTGAGCCTCTCAAGCTTCTATTTCCTTCTGCTCCTCCTCCTCCTCCTCCTCCTCCTCTCCCTCCCCTCCCTCCTCCTCCAACTGCTGCTGCGCTCATCATCATCACCACTACCATCATTGCCACCACCATCATCGCCATCATCATCATCATCATCACCACCACCACCATCGCCATCATCATCATCATCATTATCATTATCATCATCATCATCATCATCATCATCATCATCATCATCATCATCATCATCATCATCATCATCATCATCATCATCATCATCATCATCATCATCATCCATCACCTTCTTAACCTCCTTCTCCTCTTCCTGCTCCTCCTCTCACGCGAGTTCAGGCATCACCGGCCCAGCACTCCAGCAGGAGGTGGAAGAAGCAAAGTTCTTCCGTGCGGTACAGCAGGACTTGAGCTGGGGAAGAGACTTACTGTCAACAGGCCATGGAGAGGAAGGGGGAAGGAGAGGCTGTCGAACCGACGGAGGTAGGAGGAGACGAGACGAGACGAGACGAGACGAGACGAGACGAGACGAGACGAGACGAGACGAGACGAGACGAGGAGGGGAAGAAGCAAATGGGGATGGTTCGTTGGACGAATGTACACAGGCATGAGATGGAAAAAGATTGACGAGAAAGAGGAGGAGCTTCGAGAGAAGGAGCAGGAGGAGGAGAGAGGATCATTGATGTGCTTGCGCGGCAGATTCTCTCTTACAAGTTTGTGATCAACACTCACGGAAATGGCAACGAGTGGAACAACAGGTTCCGATCGCTGCTGAGCTCGGGAGCACTGGTCTTCAAGCAGGTGGGAGGAAGAGGTGCGGGAGAGAACGTGCGGGGAGTGCAGTGGAAGAGATGAAGGTGAAGCGGTGTAGCGACAGGGGCAGGGGTACTGTTGCTGATGCGTCTGTGTAGAGTGAAGCAGGAGCAGGAGCAGGAGCAGGAGCAGGAGCAGGAGCAGGAGCAGGAGCAGGAGCAGGAGCAGGAGCAGGAGCAGGAGCAGCAGCAGGAGCAGCAGCAGCAGCAGCAGCAGCAGCAGCAGCAGCAGCAGCAGCAGCAGCAGCAGCAGCAGCAGCAGCAGCAGCAGCATCAGCAGCAGCAGCAGCAGCAGCAGCAGCAGCAGCAGCAGCAGCAGCAGGAGGTTCGTGACTGAAATGAGTGCAGGAAGCGACCCTGTTTGAGATGTGGGAGCACGAGCTCGAGCCTTTCCATCACTTCATCCCTATCAGATCTGATTTTAGCGACCTGGTCTTTCTCCCC